AAACCCCCACCCAAACATATTGTTATTTGCCTTTCTACAGAGTAAAATCAGAGAAGAATTCCTTAAAGACACAGACAGTCATTACTGACACTACTTCCACTAATCAAGTATAAAATAGTCCAAATGCCCCTTTTGGAACAATAACAGTGAAAATATAGTTTTACCAAGGGATTAAATAGGTGGAGAGGTACCAGTTTTAGAGAATTTGAGAAGTGAGAATTTCACAAAGTGAAAAGCGAATCTCTTTCATGTGATAACACTGGATAACAGTGAAAAAGGACATTTTTTTCTAATTCTAGGCATAAGCTTTTTTCTCTATTCTTTTCACATGCAAATTTCCCATTCAGTTTTCCCTGAGCAACATGCACACACACACACTCACACACACACACACATATATATGCACACGTATATGTATATATTGGATGAGACTCTTGGGTGGTGGGGGCTGGTGTTTGGTGCCTCTTTTTTTCCCCTTCAGTTTCTGCAAATTGCTAGGGTTTGGTTTTGATTAGTTATATTATACTGTAAATCAGTCCAGATGTTTCTGTTATTCTGTAATTTGTTGAGTTTTGGCTCAAGTCTTTTTAAGGTTTTTTTCCCCCTATGTAGTGATTGATTTCAAAGTTAGTTCCAATATTTTTTGACCATTTCTCTCAGTTATAAGATGTAGCAGTCTAAGTATCAGAGGTAACACTGCTTAATTAAAAGTGTAGAATGGGAAGCTGATTGTGACTCTTATCAGAAAAATACAGGATATTCTGTGAAAAAATATGAGTATATATTCTTAGTAGGTTATTTTAAATTGTTAAAATACTTATCAGAATTTAAACATGATAAATATGAAGGCTGTGATATAAATGCAGATGGCCAATATCATTGCTGTAAAACACTCAGCAGAAGTCTACACTTCAGGCAGGAAATCTTCAGACAATGCAAGGAATTTGCAAATGTGGATATGGAGTTAATAGATCTTGCCATTTGCCCTCCTCTCTCCTCTTCAGCTAGAAATCAAAATGTGACAGATGAGAAATAAGTGAGTTTGTACACTTCTATTCTTCTGTGACTGTGGATAAAAACAAATTTTTAATTGCGCATGAAGGAGCACAGTGAAAGCTATTTTTCTTTTAATGTTCCTTTGATGTTAATCTATTTTTTCTTGTATAATTCAGGGATCTATCTTATAACCTCCTGGAAGATTTACCCTGTTTTACTGCATGTAAAAAACTACAAAAAATGTAAGTGTTAAACCACCCTAAAAATGTTAAAAAGAAGCATCTATGTGTGTTTGAGTATAATTAACTTGGTTATTGCTGGCTGATTTGACATACCCCAGATACACTTTATTGAAGTGGATCATAAGCACAATTTAAAACACCCCAAAGTGCCTCCCAAGTGTGTTTGAAACTGAGGACATCCTTCTTGCTATTTCAGTGACTTGCATCACAATGAAATCGCTGAAATCAAAGCAGACACATTTCGGCAGCTGGCTGCTCTTCGGTCTCTGTGAGTACCCCCAGACACACATTCACAGGGGTTCTCAAAAATATGGGCTCTATAATGTCTGCTCATGATGTACCCCAAAAGATCCTTATTTCAGTTTTTCCTTACTATGATCTTTCATCATGAGTTCATAACTGAGAAAGGAGAGAAAACATTGTGGAGTTTAGCATCTGCAGCAATTAATTAAAATATATAAGCTTATAGCCATAAAAACTATCATTTCTAAATGTTTCTGATGGAAGTGGAGAGACTTACTGAGCCAGAGCTGGTACGTGTTGGCAGGTTCATGTTATAATCAGCTCTAGGGAGTGGGAAATCTTTTTACAGAGAGGAACATCTTAAGATGTGGAGTCCAGTCATGTGCAGGTTTCCAGTTTTCTCACAGACTCATGTGCTAGAGGAGTCATTTTGTCAAGAAATTACTCATGGTTGTAATTTTTTGCAGAATTGAAGCCACACCTTTTTTTTTAAGAGTTGCTTTCAGTCTTTTTGACTTTTCAGGGACAGTGAAAATTGAGGTTAGGAAATTAAGCCTATTGACCATGGGTTTGCTGTTCTTAAGTCATGTTTTCAGACTTAGTCCATATAACCCACCCTTCTTTCTGCTGCCTTAGGAGACTGTGAAGCAGACTGAAATGTCTTAGGCTGTGGCAGGCATTGAGACATTTTAAGTTGTCAGTTTAATAACACCACAAATAACAAAAAATGAAAAAATACTTTGCACTATGAGATATGCAGGAGCTTATTGAAAATATTGGCATGTAATTGATACCTTTTTTATATTTAGGCCTCCTAATCAAGTGTTTGAAAACTTCCATATTCACTCAGTGGGTATGTAATTTTCTACTCACTTTTCTTGTAGGGATTTAGCTTGGAACAAAATTAAAATGATTCACCCCAATGCCTTCTCCTCTTTACCATCTCTGATCAAACTGTAAGTATTTGAATATCTTATACATTCAGTTTTTTCATTTTTCTTGCCAGAACATACAAAAATTTAATAACTTGGTGCCCCAGCAGAAATTGAGAGTTTCTCTGTTCTAATCATCTGGTCTGTTGAATCCTTATCTAAATGTCTGCTTTCCTGTACTTCCCCAAGTCATGTAGGTATTACAGCAAAGCTGCATACAATGCTTAGTGTAATGATTTGGGGTCCATGAAGATTATCAGTGCATCTGCCTCTTTTCATTCAATTTATTAGCAGTTAATCTGTTGTGGCAGTGGTAAATATTTCCTGTTAGTAGTGTTTTCAGGCCTCAGGAATTATTAAAAATTACATAAGAAACTTTTTCCAGAATGCATCTTTATTTCATTGTTCCTCATTTGATGAAATAGTTCTTCTTCTTTAGTAAGTTCAGCTAGAGCAGTTAGTGGTCAAAACATCAGCAGCAGTTTTGCAGGCCTCGTTCACAAGCACTTCTCAGTGCTTACTAATTTTTTTTCTACTTCCAACTGTCACTGTAAAGCTTTTTTAATCCCTGAGGCATTGCCTGTATGGGGAAGATGTGAAAAAAAATTCCTCTGGAGTCATATTGCTGCATGGTTGTCACAAAAATATTATGCTGGGCATTTGCTCACAAATAATCCAGTAGCTGCTAAACCAAAATTTGGAGAGGTATTCATTTCTGTTGATGTGCAAAGCCCTCTGAGTGGTGCACTGACAAATGCCCACACAGACAATTTTGCCTATAATGTCCCTTTTGGGACCTTTATCAGAATTTACCTACTTTGTGAGGTGAGCAGTAAATTGTAGCTTTGGACAACAACATACAACTGTCAGAGGGGGTTAAAGAAAAAAAGCCCTTGATCACACAAACAGTACCACAGTGTTCCAGTGTTTCCTGAAATGGTAGTCTCTAACCTTGGTCCACCAGTCAGTGGTTATTTTTACCATTGCAGTAGGACCTGAATTTCACCTTTGGTATTTAATGGTGCTAAACCAGATAGGTAGAAGCCCAGTCCATCAACATACCTTATTTTATGCCTAGACCTTAGATTTCAGTGTATAGTCCAGACTTTCCTGTTCAGCCTTGAACATAAAAGCATTTCAACTGCATCAGACTCTGCTTCTTCCCTTCTTCCTCCTTGACTGTTGACCATCACAAGTATTGCAGAGTAAACAATTGTGAGGAGGACTGAAAAGACTCATTGAATAAATGAGAGAGAGCAAAATAGAAAACAGTATCTCTGGAGTCCCCCTCTTTAACTACTTTGCCATGTGTCCTTTATCACTTACCACTTTTTCATTCACCTGTTTTACTTTCCCCAAGTCACCTGTCTGTGTTCATCTGCACCACTCTGTCTTCCCTCAGCCACTCAGACAAAGTTCAGCTTGGAAATGTCATCTCCCTCTGCTCCAGCCCAGCCCTGTCCTTTCCTGAAACACACAGCTTCCCCACACACCTGAGCTGCTCCTTGGGAGCTGTCAGGGCAGCCATGCCCTGTAGCATCCCACTGAATCTTTTAAACTGTGGGAGGCTGTTCCAGCTTCTTTGAATTCAGTCTAGGGAGAAGATTTTAAATTCATTTGCTAATGTCAAAACTAGCACTATGAATGTTTTGAGTCAAAATATGGGAACAGAGACCCAGCTAACTACTAGATATTACTGTTAGCTTTCTGCTAGACATAAAGGTGAGTACTCCTGAGCAGTGCTGCAGCTTTGCTGTGTTCACTGGGGCCTCTGTTTAATACAGTCATTTTTTATTGAGTTAGAGATCTTTAACCTATTTTTTCAATGTGACACTTCTAGTGCTGAAAAAAAAAATGAAAACCATAAGCTGATTTTTATTTGCTGTTGTGCAGGGATGTGTCATCCAACCTTTTGTCCTCTTTTCCTGTGACGGGGCTACATGGTTTAACTCATTTAAAATTAACAGGAAATCATGCCCTACAAAGTTTGATAACATCTGAAAATTTTCCAGAACTCAAGTGAGTATATCATTAAAACTAATAAGCCACATTTGTGTTCATGTGCAGTGGAAGGTGTGTCAGTGTGTAACGCATGTTACTTCGTATTGTCAGTCTTTGATCTGTGCCATTAAAACTAAAGCAAATATGATAAAAATGATAGACTTCTTTTATTATGCTCACTTTCAACTGAAGAAACTATGAAGGTTTTGAAATATTAACCCCAGTACTTGCTTAGTACAAGCTACATCTGCTTCCTGGTGATACGTTTCAAAAGCTGTTAAAACAATATTGCTGGCAGTTTAGTGATATGTCCTTCTTCTACTGGACTGTGCTTACAGAACTCCCATTATACATAATGAGAACACAGCAAATACAAGGGAAGAATATACTGCTGAAAGACCAAAAGATTTCACCTCTTTTGTTTGAACATGATTTTTCTGTAATCTTTTGATTAAGATTCAGATAATACTTTGCCAGTATTACTAATGCACTTGGATGCTAATAATTTCTGCAGGTCCTCTGTGATACAGGAAGGAAGTGTCCTCTAAAGATCACTTGCAGCTCTGCCAGTCACTGGATGATCGTGGCCTGTATGGAGCTTGAACCCACGACCTAGGCATTATTAGCACCATGCTATAACCAACTAAACTAATTTCAGGGTCACAGCAAAGAGGGTTTTGTCTCTGACTTCAGGATATTTTGGAGTTTCCCCTAACTCTCCTTTCATTTTTATATTTTAATTAGAAGATGCCGATTGCAACTTATACTTCATCATGTTTTTCTGTAAAAAGTTTGATATCAGAAAGTAGGAAATAACTAAACAGTGTGCACATAGTTATGAAATCACAGAAAGGTCGAGGTTGCAAGGCTTTGAGGCTGTCTTGTCTAACCACCTGCTCAGGCAGGGGCACCTGGAGCCCGTTGCCCAGGACCACATCCAGACAGCTTTTGAGTATCTCCAAAGATGGACAGTCCATCCTTATGTTTTCACTAGATTTGCCTTTTGCACTGAAAAAGGCCCAGGAGTCCTAGCAGGCAGACAGCTCAAGAGGTGACCATTAACAAAAACGACTGGAGTGTTTGGAGTTATCAATAGGGGAATGTTGAATAGAAGTGTGGAACTGATTAAGGCTCTGTGTGCAGCACTGGAGGGATCCACCCTAGAACACTTTTCTCATGGCATGTTAATATGAACTGAGATAAGAGCTGCAAAAAGTGGTTCCAAGGTTAGGAAACATCGCCTGAAATGTCTTAATAACCCCAAAAATGGTAGTTTGTCACAGAGGAGATTACTTAAGGTTACCTGTCCTTGATTTCAACAAGTACATGAAACTATAACATTAGCATTCAAAGTACTAGAGGCCTTAAACCTCTTTTACATTAGAGATCTTGAGATAGGGCTCAGAGGTCAAGGAGCAAGTACCATAAAGATCACAACTGATTGAGACTGAGTTTATACCATACGTTTTCTTCTCTCACTGGCTTTGCCCAAGGCTGGTGACAATTCGAAAATAATTGAAGTTTCTTTAAAAGAAAGTAAACACAAGAAAATTGATTACTCCGACCTGGCAAATATATAATGATGCATATACCATGACATAGAGGTATTAGAGGTGCTGCAGTAGTCCAAGAATAATCCATTATTCAACTGAATTATGTATTACTAAGATTTTTTAAATTATTTTCTCAAAATTATACTCTATATGAATTTCCCTTCAGCAAAATTGTGTACATTGGTCAAATGAAAGTACAGTGTATTTCATCTGGGCAAATCGTTAACAAGGATGTGTCCAACTAACTTAATTCTTTTTAAAAATTTGTTCAAAGTATGATATCTAGAGTTAATTAACATCTGTAAGAACAAATTATACCCAGTCAGGAGAGAATAGGGTAAAATCCTGACCTACTGTCTGCATGACTTTTACCATAAATCAAAATGAGTTCAGGGTTTCACACAGGATCACTGCACAAAGCACCAAATTTGAATAGATATCTAAAACAAAATGAAATTTCACCCTTTACAATTGTTGCAACTAGCCAGTGGTTACATTAAAGACAAATTCCTGTATAAAAACTTCCTACTTCTCTAAATTCATCAAACCAGAACATCAAAGAGCTGAGCATCCCCTTCCCCATCATCAGCAATAGCACTAGTACACTCTGCAGAGCTGAGCCCAGCCTGTTACAGCAAGCCTTGAGGAAGCAAAGTCAGGCTGCCAGCCACTCCTTCCTCCTTTATCTGATGCTTTGATTCAGTGCTGAAAAGAACTCAGTGCTTTGCTCCATTCATCACAACTGTGCCTTCCTGTTCACCATTAACTCCACACCTTTGTGAGGGAGAAAACGACCTTGTGTTCTCTGCTGCTTAATCTAAAAACAGAAAAAAGAGGCATTCCTTACTAGAGGAAAAAAATTATCAAGGATACAGATATCATTAGTAAGATAAGGAGTATATAAAAATAAAGTTAGCCAGTATTTCTAAGAGAGTTTAATTTGACAAAGTCCAAATCTAATCACTCACATCAAATAAGCACCAGCCATAAAAAGGACTGCCTCCAGCACTGTACGCCTGAGAGTTCCTTCTTTTTTTCATTCTTTTTGTGTTAAATGTGGCTTTTGTGAGGAAAAAAACTCCTCTGTCACCAAGAAGATCTGATACTTATTTCCCTGCTTTGCAAAGTATGTTTTGTCCTCTGTATTCTAGGTTGGAGTCACTGTGTGCAGTTGGGCTTTGCACACAGATTAAGCAGCATTTGCTAATTTAAGGATTATGTGTATATTCTGATAATACAGGCTGGGGGAAAAAACAGACATAAACTGTTCAGATTTAAGAATGGATGCTAGAGATACCAATAGACAGGATAAGACATGGGAGTCTTGCTCTTTAAATATAATTTAAAAGCCACGGATGTTTTTGGATATATCATCAAAGTAGTGGACCAGTACAATGTGGGAAGTCACATTTCCAGTATATGACAGGTCAGCAGGCTGGGAGAAGCACAAGATCTGGAAATCTATCATAGTGCTGTTTGAATAATCAGAGAATAGACTACATTTCTGCCAGTCTCTTTTGCCTAAAATATCCACTAACTGTTCATTTCCCCAGGTGTATCAATGTCCTTCCAAAGATCTGAAGCCACAAGTTGCAAGGGGTCACCTCACAGAACTGACAGGATTACTTTTGATAATTACTTTTTTTGTTCCAAAAAAAGGCAATTTCTATTTGGGGATTGGGATTGTTTTTATCCCAGATGATTAGCTATGGGTTAGCCTAGTAATCAATGGGTTTAATAATAGTTCATTTAAGAAGAACTTCTGGGAAATGTGTTCAAAAATGTTTAATCAAGATAATCTCCTTATGCTAAAAGATGGCATGCAGATGAATGAGTTAGAAATTAAATATTTAAATCTGCTGGCCTGTGGTTGCTTGCAGTTAGATCTTAGTTATCTTGAACTTTTATTGAGTACCCTAAAAATTTTATATTGGGTACAAGGGTACAGATTATTGCTGTTAATTTCCAACAAAAATGGAAGGTTGTAGAATCTAAATGCCCCCAAATGTACTAATTTAAAATATCACTTTAGAACTTAAAATTCCGTTTCTTCCCCTTTGTACCAAGTTTTTTGGCTAGTGCACAAGTTTAAGTCCTGTTGGCACTGGGCCTAAATCAGCTTGATTTCCCTGCAGATTTCCCAGGGGGTTAGAGGTTGCTTATTACACCCATTATGTTAATTTACATGATTAACCTGTTGAAAGTAATCTGATAGGAGGATCTAGTTCTACTTTATTCCTTTTAAGTTAGTTCAGAATAACTTCTAATCACCTCTTTATCTTCGAAGTTTTTGGTATATTGGGCTTTTGGAATTAGGGTGAGTTGTTAGGTTTTACTGTGTGCTATTGGTGAACTGCAAATAAAATAGCTCTGCTTCCAAAGCATAAAAATATGTCTATGGAATAGAAGTAGTCCACAGAACTCAGATAGTAGTTCTTCTACGATCCCCCAGAATTTGCACAGTACCAGAAGTGTGCAATTTTCTGAAAACAGGAGCCTTTATAATCATTGGAAGTCACTGGCATATATTAAGAAAGTAACTGCTGGAGAAACTGTTGATTTACACAGTAAAATAATTGAAAATCATAAAACCAGAAATACAGCTCTGATTAAAATTCACTCAACAGCAAGACATAGATCTCCCACTATCTTGTCTCCTTTGAAAACACATAAGAAAACTTCAGTATGCCTTTTCTAAAATTAGCCTAGAAACCATCTGCATTTCCAATAAGGAATTTTATTTGTGAATCCTCATTTTGTATTATTGTGACTGATTTTTACCCAGAGATGTTTTTACTTTCTGTTGTGGATATTTAAACTATTTGCTTTGTGTTAACTGTAGAGGAGCAGTACAATCCAGTAACTCTGGTGCTTAACTAGTATCGTGGCATGCTGCCTTATTCTTCTGCAGGGTCATGGAAATGCCTTATGCCTATCAGTGCTGTGCCTTTGGAGCTTGTGAGAACCACTACAGAATCTCCAGCCAATGGAACAAAGATGATAATAGCAGCATTGATGACTTTCATAGAAAGGATGCTGGATTGTTACAAATTCAAGGTAACCATCATCTTAGGCTTATAAGTCTACCTGAAGGCTGTGAGCAACCTGTGATTTTAAATAAAGCTAATACTCTTTACAGTCACAGAGGTGGCCTCTCCCTGTCTCTTCCTCAATAATATGTTATTTAAGTATTCCTGTGCTTAGCAAACTCATTCGGCCATTCAAAAATCTCACTCACGCACTCATCTTTTCAGCCACACAATAGTTAAAATAATGTGGTAAATTTAAGATTCCCTTTATATGAGAGACAGGCTAGCTCAGCTGGTATGTAACTCCACACAAAAGCAGGCCAGAAAAGATGTAGTTTCTTGCCAGCCTCAGAATGGAACACATCCTAGGCTTACTCACACACTTCAGGATGAGCAATAGCCAAAATATGTGGCTACTTCAGCATATTTTTTCATAGAATCATAGAATCACAGAATATGCTGAGTTGGAAGGGACCCACAAGAATCATCAAGTTCAACTCCTGACCCTGCACAGGGCAGCCCCAAGAATTATACCATGTGCCTGAGAGCATTGTCCAAATGCTTCTTGATCTCTGACAGGCTTGGTGCTGTGACCATTTCCCTGGGGAGCCTGTTCCAGTGCCCAAACACCCTCTGGGTGAAGAACCTTTTCTTGATATCCAACCTAAACCTCTCGTGGCTCAGCTTCATGCCATTTCCTCAAGTCCTGTCCCTGGTCATGAGAGGAAGAGATTGGTACCTGCCCCTCTGCCTCCCCTTGTGAGGATGTGGAAGACTTGAATGAGCTCTCCCCTCAGTCTCCTCTTCTCCAGGCTGAACAAACCAAGTAACCTCAGCTCCTCACACAGCATCCTCTCAAGGCCCTTCACCATCCTCGTGGCCCTCCTTTGGGCACTCTCTAATAATTTAACATCTTTCTTACATTGCAGCACCCAAACCTGCCCCCAGCACTGGAGGTGAGGCTGCCCCAGCTCAGAGCAGAGCAGGACAATCCCCTCCCTTGCCCGGCTGTGATGCTGTCCCTGATGTCCCCAGGACAGGGTTGGCTCTCCTGGCTGCCAGGGCACTGCTGGCTTG